ATCGTTTGTAGAATCCGTGAGTCAGATATTTTCCCTCAAATTAAGACCTTCAAGAGAACAACTATCAAATAGTTACATTTCAATCTCTGCTGCAGGGCTTATCACTCCTGACTTCAGAATTTGAGCATGCCCCTGGATCTCATAGCTTACCCTTGTGCATGGGCCTGAGACCACGTGCGTTGTCTGTCCCCTCAGGCTGAGTAGGAGAGGGAGCTTGGGTCAGGCTTGTGGCCTCTTTGGACAAAGGCTCTTTCTCTTTTCCTGGGAAAGATGCTTCTGAAGCCAAGGGTGCCTAAAGACAATTACACCCCTCTTCTAGCTGCATCACAGGAGGTTCTTTTCTCCCCAGTGGCCTTAGTCAGCCCCTGCATCACCCTGTTCTCTCCTTCTTGCTTATTCCCTGGGCACCACCTTCTCAGATGTTGCCTATTGAGAAATCAGTTTGGGATGGGAGAGCCTTGGACCAATGACAATCCCCCTCCTGTGTGTATCCCTGCCTCTAAGACCTCTGCCACTCACCTACCCTAGTACACAGCAGAAATGCTAGATTCTAAACACTTTTTGTCCTATTTGTTTGTTTATTTCCCTTTGTATTTTGTTTGAATAGTGAAAAATCATGAAAGGAAGAAGATTTATTCAATGTGCTCACGTTGGAAAGGGGGTTGGAAAGATCCAGTGAATCTCTTAAGTCCATCTTCTGGCTTCTCCCAATAAGTTTTGTTTCAGTTTTAAAAAGAGGGCCTGAGATGTGTATGTCTAAGCTATTTCTTCAGGTCAAAGTGTGGTCCTGTCCATCAGTGTTTCAGCTCCATCCTTCTGAAAAGTAACCTAACAACTTGCACATCTTTTTCTTGGAGAAAATTTTCCCTTCTGATGGCCCCAGCAAGATTCCTAGGAATATTTAATGTCTTGAAGTTCCTTGTTTCAATAGTCTGATTGCCAAAATGAGATATACAGAGTCTCTTCAGAACGCCTTCCCCCACTTCAGGTTACATTGTTCTTTATTCTGTTGCTACACCTCAACCTTACAGTGGAATATGTCTTTTGTGAAACAAATATAAAGGGAAAGCATGTAGGGACCAAGGTTAGACTGCTTTTTAACGCACTGGCCACAAGGAGGAGCTGTGACTCTGAGTTTAAGCCTTCTAAGGACTATGTGAGAGAATTCACTGGTGAAGAGAGGGTTAGGAGAAACTTTGACCTATTTATAGCATGGGAAAGTGTGGTCTGCGGAGACTGTGAGCCAGGGATGTCATGCGAAGGGCCTTTCTCTGAACTGAAGTTCCAGCAGATGGCCTCGCTGACTTCTTGTATGTATGTGATCCTGCATGGCATTAGAAAGTAGGGTTTGGGGTGGTAAGGCTGGGAACCAACAGGCAGGTGCAGGTGGAGAACTCTCCCTGAAAGGAATAAACAAAGCTCTTGGAGGGGAGGCTTTATGCCTTTGCTCAGTCAAGTCTAGTCAGTCCAATCTTTCATGATGTGAGCTCCTATACCCAACAATGAATGTTACAGACCAGGGCCTCCTCAGGACACTTGAGGATGTAACAGAAATCTACAGGTGAGGTCAAGAGACCAAGAGTCTCATTTCTATGTTCCTCAAGCCACACCGTTGAGGAATTATACCAAAGAGGTCTCATTGCTGTTCATCTTCTGGGGCGGGGGATGGTCCTCTCCATTCTTGAAGCATGAACATTTATTCACACATAAGCATTTCTTCTGGGTTCAAGAAAATGTTCCATCAAAATAGCAGCAACAGCACCAAAAGACAGCAGGAACACACCCCTGTGTGGACTCTATTTAAAACCTCTGTCTCTATCTACAAATACCCCTGAAGTAGGGCCAACATTGTGATGCTATCAGGATACCAAAAGATAGAAAAGCTGGTGGCATTGACTGCCAATCAAAACACAGGTCTGAGACAATGTGTTTTTACATAAGGCTCTATTACTTTTACAGCATTTGGAATTTCCCTTGCTTCTTGGAAATCCAGGAATGTCATAAAATTACATTTTCTATGGGCAGATGCTAGGCAGCAAAGGAAGTTCTAGGCCATCTTCCCATACTGCCATATACATCCCACCATATTGCACCAAAGGAGAGTCTAGCCAAATCACTGAACTGGAAAACAATTTCCTTTTCTGTAAAGTTAATTTTGTAGCTCATCTTAGAATAAAACAAAGAAATATATTGAAGATTACCAACTCAATTTTCTAAGTTGAAATCTAAATCATTTTCTGTGTCAAAAGCTACTTTTGCCGGGCGGTGGTGGCGCACGTCTTTAATCCCAGCACTTGGGAGGCAGAGGCAGGCGGATCTTTGTGAGTTCGAGGCCAGCCTGGTCTACAGAGCGAGATCCAGGAAAGGCGCAAAGCTACACAGAGAAACCCTGTCTCGAAAAACCAAAAAAAAAAAAAAAAAAAAAAAAAAAAGCTACTTTCAAAATCTGCTGAGAATTATGAACATCAGAAAAGGCAAGTACACACAGGCCTAGCATCAAAATTAAAATTTAATACTGAGGACTTTAATTTAGGGCATGAAATTCATGATCTTTTGGATTTTTCTCACTAGTAATCACATAAAGTATCTACAATTTCTTCCCAATTGTGAAAATAAGGTAAAATATTACTACTTTTAAAACTAAAAAGGGCCTATAATTTATATTATTACATTTAATTGATATTAATAATTAATATACTACAAATATTTTTAATTGTTCTTTTCAAGAAACTAGTTTAAATGCTTTGTGACCCATACAATAGTACGAATAGCACATGTCATTACTTAAGGAGGACAGATGAGAACTCAGTAGTTAAATAGGCAAACAAAACAACTGATACTTTGTAAAGCTGGAGGGCAAATGACCTGTAATGTGATGTCTCCTTCAGTTTGGTCTGGATTTTTACTTGGGAAACTGTCAATAATAAGAAACAGTATGTATGTTGACTGTTGCATTTTTTTTGCCTGTGAGAATGCTGATTTTCCTCTTCCTGGGCAGAGTTACTCTAATCCACCCCTCTCTGAGCAGAACAGAAAGGCTGCCCTGTGCCTTGTTCCTTAGGATACCTGAGAAACAGCCTGAGCCCAGGGCAGGGAACATCTGGGACAATGGAATCTCCTGGGGCTCCTGTGCAGCACTAAGCACCTGACAGGACTGGCTGTGGACATTCTGTCTCCATCCTGCTCTGCCAGAGCACCCAGCAGTGTCCCCTGACTGCTCAGGGAGTTTATTCTGATGGAAGCCACCCAAAGCAGAAGCGACAAAGGAAGTTTTGGTCCAAAGTAGATGATTTCATACACAGAACAGAGAAACATGCTTTCCCCCACTGAAACACATTCTCCAGTGTGGCCAAATATAAGAGCTTAAAGGAGCCAAATTCAGGATCAGTAACCAGAATAAGCACCTGGCTGTTGCTTAGTCCACTTCCTGTTTGTTCTGGTTCTTCTCCAGCCTTCAGCCCTATCCCCACTGCTCTTATACATTCCTATTTTTAGGTGACAGCTAAGCTACAATTGCTTCATTTTCATACACCCCCTCCCTTGCCTTTTCTTACTGAAGTCTGGCCCTTGCCAGGGATGGCAGACTCACCTCTGGGTTCTCTCTGTTCAGATCTCCCCTTTCTCGTTCAGCTAGACCTATCAGAAAGGAAACTATGCAACAGGATTTGTCTCTTTTTAGACCTATCTGAAGGAGACTATACAACAGAATTTGTTTCTTCCTATCCTCCAGGCAATTACTGAAAAATCCTGACAAAATCTTCTGGTTTTTTAATTCTTTAAAACAATATTTAGTAGTACTTAGAACTAACATTGCTTCCTATGAAAAAAGTTTGTTGGTTTTTTTTTTAAGTTAGGGTCATTCTAGCATCATTTCTAGGGGTGTCCACCTGATTGTGTCAAGAATATTTGAAGAAAGTAGTAGTAGGCTAGATAATTACTTAAAATCTATTCTTCAAGTATTTTCACGGTTGTGATCACCAGAGTGACCTGCCCCTTACCGTGTTCATCCCACCCCTCTCTTTCTTGTTTCCTTTTCTTTCCAATCTTTTCATTACATTCTCTCTTCCTCCATCTCTGTCTCTCCTCCTTATCCTCTTTCTCCCTTCCCCTCCCTTTCCTTCCCTTTCCTCTCCTCATCTTCCTTTCTTTCTCCCTGCTTCTTTCTCTTTTTGCTTCCTTACTTCCTCCTTTGAAACACTGCACACGTAAGCTTTGTAATGTAACGAAGCAGTGTGTGCCGGAGTTTCACAGAACTTGAAAATTATTCTTAGCCCACTGTTCTGCAGATGAGAAAATGGGAATGCTGCATAAAGTGCTTTAAAATGAATTCCTGCCTTCCACAGAGCATGTACTTCATATTCTTGATCCACAGGTAATCTGTATATTTTCTAAATTTGGTTTTATGAGGTAGGGCCTTGCTCTTTAACTCTGGCTGGCCTGGCCTTATAGCTAGGTTGGCCTTGAACTCAGCAATCTTCCTATCTCAGCCTTCTGAGTGCTGGGATCATAGGAGTTAGGACTCCACACTCGGATTCCATTCTTTTTATTCCTATGAGAATAGTACTATCCTAAGAATGAGATTATTTTTGTCTTCCTTTGCACCACATTGGCATTTAAGGTCTGAAATAAGTAAGCTGCACTTGACCCTCCAGGAAGGCTCATAGTCATTCTTCTTTCCTTCACTGCTACAGCCTTGATACTAGTTCTGTGCTCCTTAAAATGCATGTGAACTGTCTGGGTTTATTCTTGATTGTACTACCAATGCCTGACTTCCTCTCTCTGTCTATGTCTCAGTTTCTCTCTGCCTCTGTGTGTGTGCGCACACACATGCATGCTCGCATATGTCTGTCTGTCTGTCTGTATTGATGAATCAAGTGCCTTTCTGACTTCAGTGGTAGATAGACAAATCACATGTCAGCTATAGTGGAGCCTACTGCCTGCTCTGATAACAGCAGTAGAACCCTGAGGTAAGGACTTATCTGGTCTGCCCTGACCCAACCATGGGTTCCAGGTTCCTAAGCTGTGTGGCCTTCTGCCTCTTGGGAGTAGGTGAGTAGTTGAGTTCCTAGGCAAGAAGATGTGATCCTGTTTGAGTCCTTTGAGCATGCTTACTTCTGAAATTTCCCTGAATTCTGATGATTTTTTCCACAGGTCCCCTGGAGACGGCTGTTTTCCAGACTCCAAAACATCTTGTCACACAGGTGGGAAATAAAGCATTTCTCGAGTGTGAACAAAAGCTGGGCCATGATGCTATGTACTGGTACAAGCAAGACTCTAAGCAATTGCTGAAGATTATGTTTATCTACAATAATAAGCAACTCATTTTAAATGAATCAGTTCCAAGTCGCTTCTCACCTCAGTCTCCAGATAAAGCTCTTTTGAATCTTCATGTCAAGTCTTTAGAACTGGATGACACTGCTGTGTACTTTTGTGCCAGCAGCTATGACACAGCCATGCAGAGCCACTGCTTCCCTGTGCACAAACCCAGCCAGCCAGGAAGCAGTGGGGGTTGAGCGTTAACCCACACCTCATGCTCCATGTCCCCAGGGCTTTTCAGTTATGGCCTAACCTCCTATGACAGTCCATGAGGTGAATTAGTTCTGTGTTTTATGCACAGATGAGTCTTACAGAATTCTGCAGATTAGCCAGAATGGTAATTGACATAGTCACCCAAGTACCTAGACTCTGCCAACAATGAAAGACCCTGGACATATTAACTGAGAGAAGACACTGCTTCTTCTTTTCTGCCATGTATGTATTGCCTGTAACATTAGAATTGAAGGCAGATGGTTTCTACAAGTATTTGAGGAGCACAAATCTAAAGGGCAGAGCAAAATAATTGATTCTAAGATGCTACAGGAAACTCAGATCATCACTGAGGGTTGTTTTTGTTTGTTTGTTTGTTTCAAGAGAAATGTATCTGGAGAAGCAGGAGTGTCCATGGCCACAGGTAAACTAAAAAGAAAAGATGAGGGAGAAGTTGTTTGAGTCAGGCATCTACGTGAGGACCCCTTCTCATCAACTAACACAATTGTTCTCCCTATTCTGTTGTCTTTCATCCTTCTCCAAAAGTAGGCAGCAGTAGATGCTGGAGGATAGTTTGAGACACAGAAAGGACTTTAGCTATAAATTTCCATGTAGTAGTGAGCTATTGGGCTTACTAGAGTTACATAATATTGTTCCAGGACTGGAGTTACCTCATAGTCTAAATGATTCATACATTATCTGTATGTCCAGGGCCTTCCCCAAGCTCCCACAACCAAGAACAGAGGTGGTTAATAGCTCAAATGACCTCTACACTCTCTGTATGATCAAGACTAGGCTATATCATTCTGTAGACTCTTGAGGTTGTACAGGTTAGCCTGTCTCTAGAAGAAATCACATGTATTCTGAGTCGAGTTTTGATGTAATTACACTTCCTTCCTCACTGGGTGTTGTGCTATACCAGGAATTTTCCCCCAAATTGTACCATGTTTAAATTCACTGGGAATAAATCATCAGTCATCAGGCTCCCCAGAGTTTGATCCATGTTGACCGAGCCAATCTGAGACAAGTTTTCATTCTCACCTGTTCCTGGTTCTCTTCCCTGCCTGCCGTGACCACTTGCAGGGACCCCCTCAACATATGATTACATTTGTATTTTGGTACAATACAACAGTGGTATGGGCTAGATGGGTGAGACTCACCAAGAGAAGACACAAATATTCTGTAAGACATGGTATAAAGCAGTTAATGTGAGCCATTGTTAGTGATAGTGTGGATGTTCTGAGTTAGTCACTTTCTTATACAAGTCCTATTTTATCCAGTGTTTGAATGCAGCATTTTGTAGGGACAAGTTCAGCCTTACTCTCCCTATTAGGGAGTCCTAGCACATAGCTATTTTTGCTCATTCACAGACTTTCTGTAAAAACCAAAGTGTAGCTAATTGTTGTGCTAGAAACCTCATCCAACTACTGAGGGATCTGGATGCAGAGATCCATGACTAGGCCCCGGGTGGATCTCTGGGAGTCCAATTAGCGAGAATGAGGAGGGTTTATATGAGCGAGAATTGTTGAGACCAAGGTTGGATAAAGCACAGGGACAAATAGCCAAATGAATGGAAACACATGAACTATGAACCAATGGCTGAGGGGTCCCCACTGGATCAGGCCCTCTGAATGGATGAGACAGTTGATTGGCTTGATCTGTTTGGGAGGCATCCAGGCAGTGGGACCAGATCTTGTGCTCATTGCATGAGTTGGCTGTTTGAAACCTGGGGCCTATGCAGGATTGTTTGGCTCGGCCTGGGAGGAGGGGACTAGACCTACCTGGACTGAGTCTACCAGGTTGACCTCAGTCTGTGGGGAAGGCTTTGCCCTGGAGGAGATGGGAATGGGGGGGGGGGTTGGGGGGAAGGTGAGGGGGACGGGAGGGGGGAGAACAAGGGAATCCGTGGCTGATATGTAGAACTGAATTGTATTGCAAAATAAATTAATAAAAAAAAAAAAAAACTCATTGAAAAAAAAAAAAAAAAAAAAAAAAAAAAAAAAAACCAAAGTGTTTTACCAATGTCTCTCCTATATAATGAAGCCCAAATGCCAGAGTCCTCTAGCCCTAACTGTCTGCTGAAAATTCTTCTCAACTTTCTAGCCTTCCAGAATGTTCTCCATTCTGCCTTCAGGTAGCCCAACCTCTGCACCCACAAATTCAATAGTGTTCTCTCAAAAAAGATCTATTTATTCAGATTCTTTGGGTTCCTTTTCAGCACTCTGTGCCCCAAATTCTAGCTGTCTTGAAATTGTTAATCCTCAAGTACAGTGCACCATGATTAATTAGTAAAATATACACAGCAATAAGTGAATACTCCAATTTATTTAGGAGTTATGGACCACACATTTTCTAGACTAAAAACAAAAACTCAACATCTTCATAGAGATATGTTTTAATAAAGGTAGTATCTAGTACCTAAGTGGTCAAATGCAATACACATTTTATATAAGGAAATAGAAGCAATCATGTTGGGCCACCCCAATTTGTCTCCATTGGAAGGGTATGGGAAGTCATGATGAGGCTAGTTCCATTTCTAACATTCCAAAAATGGACAGAGCTTGGATTGTTTCATCTCAGCTTTTCTGGTTGTACAGGTGAGAAATGTCATATTTACACATATGAAATGATTTAAACACTACAATACAAAATGACTTCCTTAAATATATTAGAATTTTATTTTCTGGTTATCTATGAATATGCTTAATTGTCCTGCTAATCTGTGGGTGAACATGGTGTTTTGTTGCTTGCTCCTAGTTGTTGGTCACTGAAGACTGAACAAACCAATTTGGCCTATAAGCTCCACACAAGATGCATAGCTAACACCCACTTGACTCCTTGCTGAGTAAGAATCCCGGCACTGCCAACCTCTGCTTAGCAGAAATCAGAGTGAGACTTACGGTGTGTAAATGGGCCACTTTGGCCACAGGATGGAGCTGTGATCTAAGGATATCTATGAAGTTGGTGATGGGGAAGATGAGCCACTGGAGGGTGGGAAAAGGGGGAAATCTCACCCATCTGGACTCCTTGTTAGGTGGAAGCCTCAGTTGTAGACATCTCAAAAACGCTGGCATAAATTTCTAATTGATTTCCCTTGGTCTAATATCAAATGATGTCTGTTTCAGCATCTTATATACAATATCTTTCCTCTACACCTACTCAAGTTCTATACCTCAAACAACATGCACACGGGCTGTCTCATCCATTTTACATTCTCTTCAGTGTCTTAACCAGTGTCTGGCTTCTGAATGACACCACAGTCATACACTTCAAATGATAAATAGGCATTCAAAATCATCTAACCATCACTATAAACCACCCCTACCTTCCATAAAGCTGAGCCACCACCGTTAAGCATGAACCAGAACAGCAGTTTGAGGGTGCTATTCCTTGAAACCGAGCAGGAGAGGAAGGGGATCTTTTGAAGGAGAAATGGGCTGTGTTAGAGAGGGCCCTGGGAGAGGGTGGCGGTGAAGAACTGCGCGATGAGACTGTAGCTACAAGCATGGGAACAACTTCTAGAAATACCTCTGAGGGTTAAAAAGTTGAGTTGTCGTTTTTTTAAACATTCATTCCTCCTAGCTCAGTAAATTCACCTTCTAGTACAATCTAAGTTGACTGTGAATGGGGAAAAGGAAACATCTCTTGGAGCAGGAGAAACTAAAAAGGATAGTGACATCACAGGCAAAAGCACCAATCAGTGCCACGAGGGATAGACCCAGCTGCCATCCAGGGTATCTTGCTACACAACGCCCATCTGGGACCTGATTCCACCATGAGATGCTGGCTGCTCTTCTATATTTTCCTATGTCTCCTAGAGGCAGGTGAGTCTTGGATGCTTCTGGCTCCTAGCTCCAAATTTCTTTTAGCTGAAGCCATCACCTTTTTTCCTGAACCATGTCTAAATTTTGCCCTCTTCTTCCCACAGTGCTCATGAACACTAAAATTTCTCAGATACCTAGATATCTGGTCATGGGAAGAGCAAATAGTAAATCTTTGCAATGTGAACAATATCTGGGAAATAATGCCATGTACTGGTATAAACAGAACGCCGAGAAGCCGCCAGAGCTCATGTTCTTCTACAATCTTAAACAACTGATTCAAAATGAGACTGTGCCCAGTCGTTTCTCACCTGAATGTCCAGACACCTCCAAGTTATTCCTTCACCTGTCTGCCCTGGAGCCAGAAGACTCAGCTGTGTATTTCTGTGCCAGCAGCAAAGACACAGCCCTGCAGATTCATCAGCTCTCTGTACACAAACCTACAACTCCAGGAAGCTGTGGGACAACTGAGGGCTCCATTGAACATTTCCTGTAGGACCCAAGGCAGATGTTGCAAACCATAATACTACCTTCCAACTCAACCCATGTAGCACCTCTAGATTTCATGGTCATGTTTAGGGGTGGTGCTTCCTTTACTGCGCTTGGCTTTCCTGCCAACTGATGAGAAGATAAATACTTGTGGGGTTCATTTTTAAATGATTTTGTAATTGAGAGAAAATAAACCTGCTAGAAAGTGAATCATTTCAACTAATAGCTTACAAAACACCTCAGTACATAGTTAGATTCAATCCAGGGCTAGAAAGTGAGACATCTTTCTGAGAGAGGCATCCTGTTCTGTATACTTTCGGTCCTGCCACTTCAAAGCCTCTTCTCCAGTACTGTTGCCACCAGATCCAGGAAGCACTAAGTCGTGAGGAATCAGAGGCTAAGAATCTAAGAAAGGATGCCAGGTCTGGAGCCAGATGACCGGGCAGGAGATGACCATAGCCTTTGGGAAATGTGTTTGAAATACATACATACACACACACACACACACACACACACACACACATACACACACACACACACACACACACACACACACACACACACACACACACACACACACACATATAGTCTTTAGTAGTTCTGTATT